TTCATATTCCTATTAAGGGTTTTCTAATAGGCACTATAATTTAAAATATTCTGTTTTTTTTTTTGGTCAGTCGTGGGGCTTGAACTCTGGGCCTCGGTCACCACTTCCAGTTTTCTGGTGGTTAATTGGAGATAAGCCTCATGGACTTTCCTGGCCAGGCTGGCTTTCAACTGTGATCCTCAGATCTCAGCCTTCTGAATAGCTAGGATTATAGGTGTGAGCCACCAGGGCCAGGCCATTAAAAACATTCTTACCTAGTTTTTTTTTTTTTTTTTTGCCAGTTGTGGGTTTTGAACTCTGGGCATGGGCACTGTTCCTCAGTTCTTTAGCTCAAGGCTAGTGCTCTAACACTTGAACCACAACACCACTTCTTTTTCAGGTGGTTTATTGGAGATAAGAGTCTCAGGGACTTTCCTGCCCAGGCTGGCTTTGAACCATGATCCTCAGATCTCAGCTTCTTGAGTAGTTCAGATTACATGGGTAAGAAACCAACGCCTGGCTTACCTAGTATTCTTAACGTAGTCACCTTTAAACTGATTTTGTGTGTGTGTGCTGGTCATGGGGCTTGAACTCAGGGCCTGGGTGCTGTCCCTGAGCTTTTGTGCTCAAGACTAGCACTCTTTGCTGGTTAATTGGAGACGAGTGTCTTGGACTTTCCTTCCCAGAATTGGCCTTGAATTGCAATCCTCAGATCTCAGCCTCCTGAGTAGCTATGATTACAGGTTTAAGCCATTGTCAGTGTTTTCTTTTTTTTCCCCTTCCTTCCTTCCTTCCCTTAATGAATTCATTCATATAATTCTCTTTTCCTATTTGCTACTTACTAACATTATTGTAATTTAAGGTAATCAGTATCCATTAGATCCCAAACTGAAACATACAAAACTCTTTGATCTTCATAAGTGCCCCTCAATCTCTAAGGAATGTGCAAATTTCCCATTCCCATAATACAGAAGATGGCCAAAGCTCTCTAGGTTCCCTGTAAGTATGCATCACTTGGAAAGTGAGGCTTGTTCTTGCTTCAGAGGTCTGAGGACCTATGACTGACTACTTGCATAGCAATGGACTCCCTGCATGTGAATTTAAGGTTCTTTAACACATGAAAAAATCTTCCAGAACTCCCAAGAGTCTCTGCCAGATGAAGCAGGAAATCTATGGAAGGCATCAGGAGGCCTTTTATAGTCTGGGGCAGCAGGATAGTAGTCCATAGAATTCTGGGAAGCTATAGTGGGAGCTTAAGAACAACAACAAAAAATACTCTTAGGGACAGGAGTTAAGAATGAAAAAGGAGGATATAAAAAGTTACAGATTCCAGGGGCTGGGAAGGTGGCTTAGTGGTAGAGCGCTTGCCTTGCATGCCTGAGGCCCTGGGTTTGATTCCTCAGCACCACATAAGCAAAAAGAAAAAA